GCGCAACAAAACAAATTTCAACCGTTTGTGTAACAAAAGATAAAATGTAATATTTAAGAATCTAGAGGTTTCTGATCACATTAACAACACAACTTTAATTTGAGGTTCACCAACCTAAACCATTAGCATTCTGCTGTGCTGAAGGGGTGTAGGGCTTCCAGCACCCATTTTATCACTGCTCTGGAGAGCATAGATTAGGCTGCATATTTCTGACCAACCCGACACGTGCCCGAGAGTGTGGTGTCCAAACCCTACCTCGACCCAACAAGCTTGTAGTATATGAGGTCCGAACCTGAGCGGAGCCCGATGCAGTTGAGTTTGAATAGTGTTTTCGCCCTTATAATTAAACGAAGCAGACAGAGTGCCCCAGACATCTAACCTAAAGTCTGACCTATGTGTCCAAACCCGACCAGGACCTGAACATAATTTCTATATCAGTCAACCTACGTCCATCAGGAACACGGCCACAAACTAAAACTCTTGATCATCTAATGTCAACAACTTGCATGATTTCTTAATAACCTAGAAAATCTTCCATTTTATAATGACAGCTCAACACAAACAAAATCCCATCTTATAATGTGAAGGCTACATGAATACTGCCTGCACTGCCATAAATTCAAAGATTTTAGACCCACCACTTACATTCACTTTGCTAACTTTTTCTACTGCAGTGATCCATGGAACAACAAAGCAAAGAAATGGAGCAGAAAACCTCTACTTGTTATGGTACCATTTGAGAGCGGTTAGCACATTACTGTGTATTTCTCAGCCATGTTAAAAGAATGATACAAGTCTGGCAGATACTGTTCTTGTCTGCTGAAGTGGAAAAGCGGCCAAATGACAAGGCCATGATGCCATTAGGATGGTAATGAGCCCAAACTGAACAACAAGGTGAGTCATGATAGAAAACAAGGCTAAACAACATACTATTTAAACCCTTATATTACAGCACATTGAGTGGCCCAGATTTTGCATGGACAGATATGCTGGATGATCCTGAACAAATGCAGTTTTCTCACTAATCAGAAGTCTGGAATGTGATGATAGTGCAGTCTGACCAGAACTGTGTGGCTTCCCATCAGAAGCTCAGAAAATGTTACAGTAACAACCACAAGCCGTCACTGATCGAACCCAGCAGACAATTATGTTGCAAAGGTTTCACTCTCTTGTTAGAAGTGGGAGGGAGGAGTGACCTGTTAGTTTCAGTCTAAATTCCAGTGTCCCAAAACATCACGCCCATACACATGAAACTACAAAGATGAAACAAGGCTAAATGAAGACTAATACAGATTTAGGATGAATTATCACCAACTCTTTTGTCATATAAGGCTGATCAGTATTATTTCTACCTGCATTTCCACAGTGACAGCAGCACAGCAAAACACAACAGGAAAGTAAGAAAAGCCAAAAACTTATAGATATTAACCCGTCCTACTCATATCCATTTAACAAATATTGGTTATAATATTTATTCAATGATGCTTCTAATGTAAAAGTCCAAAAGGGATGTTCTCTGAGTGCCTTTTAACATGGTCCTCTGCCAAATTCAGAAGAGTTGTAATCTTTTTTTCACTTCACTTCAGGGGTGACTGTGGTTCAGTGGGTAGAGCGGTCATCTCCCAACCAGAGGGTTGGAGGTTCAAATCTCAGTACCTGCAGTCCACATGTTGAAGTGTCCTTGGGCAAGACACTGAACCCCAAGTTGCCCCGGATGGTTTGAGCCGCAGATGGCTGCCTTGGTTGTGTACCGGAAACAAATTCCTTGTGTGTAACATACTTGGCCAATAAAGGTGATTATTATTATTAAATCACAGGCTGCACCGTTATCTGCCCACAACCAACCAGCAAAAACAGGTCTGACAACACAGGGGAACGTGGTTTTCAGTTCACTGTGACAGCCTGGGATTTGGGCGGTGGGGGGTCAGTACTGCTGGCAGATGGCAGACACAACAGCCAGCACTCTGAAGTCCTCTAACCACCGGTTTAAACACGGATCATGGTGTTGTATTGACAACAAGAGACAACACACGGAAATTCTCAGATTTCTGGCACCGAGAAACATCCTTAAAATTAAATACCATCTCATTTGGCTATTCCTGTACATTTTAAATACTGCACAAATGTTAGCCTCGAGACCAAACACGCAAAACAAGTCACCATCACTTTATTTAGGTTATTAAAACCATATGAAATGACGACAGCAAACTTTGATTTATTATCTAGTTACATTTTCTTTCTGACTCATTGGAGACCAACACAGAAACCATGGCTGAAAAATACAGTTCGCACGTTGTTAAAGAACAATTCACTGACATAAACCACTAACTGGGTCGTGATTAAATTTAAACTGGGTTTAGCCCAGCGCTTGTTCTGGAGGGCCAGCCAATGTTGGCCAACTACAGTGGCCTTGGGTTCGAGTTACTAGTTTCTTTAAAGTGTGTTCAGATGTGGGTTGGTTAACAAATCATTGACTGAGCAAGTTATATTTAACCGTACTGATGTGAGGTAATAAAACCTAAAGTCACCACTGGTTTTAATTTAAAGAAATAGGCAGACTTCCATGTCAACGCCAGGGGTTAACAATACTGAACACGGCTGACCACTCAGAGACCGCTCGCCGCCGTTTTGGTGCAAACAAATCCCCAGGAGCCAAAGTCGCTCCGAGGCTGGAGGTGTCACAAACTTACCTGTGAAGAGGCTGAACAGAACACAGCAGAACCGGCCTCTCGAAAGCGCCATTCCTTTCCCAGCTATTCCACGACTTCTTCAGTGAAACTTGGTAGGAGAACTTGTGCTGAATACAAGACAAAAACCAGCAGCCCAGCTCGACAGAAGCATCCAAACTCAACTCCTCCTCCTCCGCGTATTTCTGCAGGTGCACAGCGGAGCGCGCTCCACTGCGTCACGTGACAGGTTTGCCCAAACACTGTCCACTGATGCCCTCTGCTGGTATGGACACGGACTTCTCGTGTTCATAGCAGGACAGTCACAGATACCGTGAGCCACCGTGAGCCGTCGTGCCCGTGTCCCTCCCGTGTCCCTCCCGTGTGACCTTCTGCGTGCCATTCCCTGTCCTGGAGAAGACACTGCCCTAATAGGCAGTCACAATTTATATTCTGAATTCTCATGACCTGACAATAGGCTAAGTTCTGTTTTCCAGAGCAGGACTGAGCTATATCTCCTAAAGGCTTAAATGAAAATATTCATTTCTCAATTTAGTTTTACAATTTATATTTGTGATTAGAGTTCATGTTCTAAACAGGAAACATGCAATACTGTACAAATGTTTAAGGCACTTTAAGGTGTTGGTAATTTCTTATGGATGAGGGAGGGAGTGGCTAATCAGTTCCAAATTCATTCTGCAGCACTGCAATGAGCCCAAACAGTCAGCCAGAGTCATAGTGCTTATACAGAACAAGGAGTCCTGCACAGAGCCCTGATCCCAACATTACTGAGTCAGTCTGAGATTACACGAAGGGACCAAGAGACACAGAAACAGACTAAAGCCACATAAGAACTGTGGCAACTTCTTCAAGATGCTGGAACAACCTGCCTGACAAGCACATTGAAAAACTGTGCCAAGAGAATTGGTGCTGTTTTAAAGACAACGGGTAGTCACAGCAAATATTGATCAGATTTGGCTTTTTTTTATTCCCTATCTTTTGTATGAAGTTAGCTGAGTATTTATTTTGTTTGCATGGGAATGACACAAAAAAGCAGAAAAAAGCCAAATCTGATCCATTCCATACAGAACTCCAACCGTGGACAGAATTATTGACACCCTCAGCTTAATATTTGGTAACCCACCCTTTGGACAAAATAACTGAAATCAATCTCTTCATGTACTCGACCAAAAAGCTCTGTTTCAGTCTCATCTGTCCACAGGACATTCTCCCAGAAGGACTGTGACTTCCTCAGGTCAGTTTTGGCAAACTGGTGTTTTTATGTTCCTGTGTCAGCAGTGGGTCCCCTGGGTCTCCTACCAAAGTGTCCCTTGTCATTCAGATGGTGACAGATAGTGTGAGCTGACACTGTTGCACCCTGTGCCTGCAGGTCAGCTTGAATCTGTTTGGAAGTTGATCGAGGTTCTTTATCCACCATTGGAACAATTCTTCATTGCAGTCTGTCATCTGTTTTTCTCTTTTGTCCATATCCATGGAGATTAGCTACAGCTCCATGGGCTGGAAACATCTTGACAATGTTGTTCACAGTGGACACAGGAACAACCAGATCTCTGGAGATGGACTTGGAGCCTTGAGACTGTCCAGGCTTTTCCACTGTTGTGGTTCTCAAATCCTCAGCCAATTCTTTGCTCTTCTTTCTTTTCTCCATGCTCAGTGTGGTCCACATGACACAAAGGTTGAATCGACCTTGCTCCATTTTAACTGGTTGCCAGTGTGATTTCTATGTTGCCAGCAACCTGTTGGTTGCTACAGGTGAGTTTCATTACAAATTAAAGGAGCATCACATGTTTGATATACAACTATTTCTGATGATTTTGGAAAGGTGTCAATAATTCTGTCCAGTCCATTTTTGGAGAATTTGTGATTGCACCTGGCAGAAGGATGTGTGCATGTGTGCGTGTATCTTTTAAAGTTCCTTCTTTCTGATTATGGTTTTCTCCTTCTTCAGGAGAGTCCAAGGTGTATCGTCCACGAAGGCCGCGCTCCAGCAGCGATGCACTGTCAGCCTCCTTTAATGGTGAGTTACTGGATAGCCGGCAGCACTGCAACTCCTATGACAATGTGGATGCCACAGAAGACAGTGATGGAGATGATGGACCCATCTGTGTGCCTGCTCTCATCTCGCCTCCCCGCTCAGCAAGTGAAGATGTGGACCTCAGCCCACCAGACATTGGAATGGCCTCCTTGGACTTTGATCCCATGTCTTTCCAGTGCAGTCTCCCCAACACCTCTTACGCCTTCCCCCTCGATGACTCAACAGCTGGGGCTGAGGGTTCCAAAGTCGCTCCGAGGCTGGAGGTGTCACAAACTTACCTGTGAAGAGGCTCAACAGAACACAGCAGAACCGGCCTCTCGAAAGCGCCATTCCTTTCCCAGCTATTCCACGACTTCTTCAGTGAAACTTGGTAGGAGAACTTGTGCTGAATACAAGACAAAAACCAGCAGCCCAGCTCGACAGAAGCATCCAAACTCAACTCCTCCTCCTCCGCGTATTTCTGCAGGTGCACAGCGGAGCGCGCTCCACTGCGTCACGTGACAGGTTTGCCCAAACACTGTCCACTGATGCCCTCTGCTGGTATGGACACGGACTTCTCGTGTTCATAGCAGGACAGTCACAGATACCGTGAGCCACCGTGAGCCGTCGTGCCCGTGTCCCTCCCGTGTCCCTCCCGTGTGACCTTCTGCGTGCCATTCCCTGTCCTGGAGAAGACACTGCCCTAATAGGCAGTCACAATTTATATTCTGAATTCTCATGACCTGACAATAGGCTAAGTTCTGTTTTCCAGAGCAGGACTGAGCTATATCTCCTAAAGGCTTAAATGAAAATATTCATTTCTCAATTTAGTTTTACAATTTATATTTGTGATTAGAGTTCATGTTCTAAACAGGAAACATGCAATACTGTACAAATGTTTAAGGCACTTTAAGGTGTTGGTAATTTCTTATGGATGAGGGAGGGAGTGGCTAATCAGTTCCAAATTCATTCTGCAGCATGGCAATGAGCCCAAACAGTCAGCCAGAGTCATAGTGCTTATACAGAACAAGGAGTCCTGCACAGAGCCCTGATCCCAACATTACTGAGTCAGTCTGAGATTACACGAAGGGACCAAGAGACACAGAAACAGACTAAAGCCACATAAGAACTGTGGCAACTTCTTCAAGATGCTGGAACAACCTGCCTGACAAGCACATTGAAAAACTGTGCCAAGAGAATTGGTGCTGTTTTAAAGACAACGGGTAGTCACAGCAAATATTGATCAGATTTGGCTTTTTTTTTAAACCTGTAAAATATTTTGTATTATTACTGGTAATTAAAGACTACTCTTAGCATACAATGTCACAGAGCATCCTCATTTTACTTTTATTATGACTATCTACATACAGAGTCGTGGCCAGAAATAATGGCACCCCTGCATTTCTGTCAGATAGTGCACCACTTCTCCCAGAAAACTGCAATCACAAATTCTTTGGTATTCTCATTAGTATTTATTTTGTTTGCATGGGAATGACACAAAAAAGCAGAAAAAAGCCAAATCTGATCCATTCCATACAGAACTCCAACCGTGGACAGAATTATTGACACCCTCAGCTTAATATTTGGTAACCCACCCTTTGGACAAAATAACTGAAATCAATCTCTTCATGTACTCGACCAAAAAGCTCTGTTTCAGTCTCATCTGTCCACAGGACATTCTCCCAGAAGGACTGTGACTTCCTCAGGTCAGTTTTGGCAAACTGGTGTTTTTATGTTCCTGTGTCAGCAGTGGGTCCCCTGGGTCTCCTACCAAAGTGTCCCTTGTCATTCAGATGGTGACAGATAGTGTGAGCTGACACTGTTGCACCCTGTGCCTGCAGGTCAGCTTGAATCTGTTTGGAAGTTGATCGAGGTTCTTTATCCACCATTGGAACAATTCTTCATTGCAGTCTGTCATCTGTTTTTCTCTTTTGTCCATATCCATGGAGATTAGCTACAGCTCCATGGGCTGGAAACATCTTGACAATGTTGTTCACAGTGGACACAGGAACAACCAGATCTCTGGAGATGGACTTGGAGCCTTGAGACTGTCCAGGCTTTTCCACTGTTGTGGTTCTCAAATCCTCAGCCAATTCTTTGCTCTTCTTTCTTTTCTCCATGCTCAGTGTGGTCCACATGACACAAAGGTTGAATCGACCTTGCTCCATTTTAACTGGTTGCCAGTGTGATTTCTATGTTGCCAGCAACCTGTTGGTTGCTACAGGTGAGTTTCATTACAAATTAAAGGAGCATCACATGTTTGATATACAACTATTTCTGATGATTTTGGAAAGGTTAATCTGTCCAGTTCATTTTTGGAGTTCTGTGTGGACTGGATCAGATTTGGCTTTTCTCTGCTTTTTGTGTTGCTCCAATGCAAACAAAAGAGATAAGCATGAGAAGACCAAAGAACTTGTGATTGCAGTAATTTTCTGAGAGAAATGGAGCCTTACCTGACAGAAATGCAAGGATGCCAATATTTATGACCATGACTATTTCTTTACAAGTATTGTGTCCTGGTAACCCATGGGTTAAACACACCTTATAACCACAATGGTTACAGCCTGACTCCAGGTGGGGACTGTTGCATGATATACTTGTCTCACTTCTCTCCACTGACAGGAAGCAACTGAAGCAAATTTGAAATAAATTAATAAAAAAAAAAAAAGTTAAATGCAAAAACCACACATTCCAAATTTACAGTACCTTGAGGGAGGGGGAAACTAATTACTGAAGAAAATAACCATGATACTTGGAAACTGTCTTTAATAAAACTTCAGACTTACAGTAAGCCTATATATGACAATTCTACACTATAAATAAAACATTTCATCACAAAGGACAGTAGGTGGCATACAAGAACATCTCCCATTGTAAAAATACAGTACTCCAAGACTACATGTGTAGTATTCCAATTTCAGTATCTAATTTAATACATCATTTAGTCAAAACTATAACAAATATTATAAAGTGCAAAAAACACCCAATATTTAAGAAATAAAAATTCATTTAAAAACACTGGTATGTTATCTTAAAGTTTTCTTCAGCTTTAATTTCCAGTGTGAACAATATGCACCATTATCGCTAATTGTAACAATGTGCCAGATTTTGGTTTGTGTCCCAGTATCCAGACCCTCCTCTCAATCCTGGAGGGACCCACAGATTATGCCTTAAAGGGTGGGGGACTCTGCTGCGAGGCCTGAAGCTGGAGTGAGGCCGTGGGATGATGTGACTTTTCCCTGGTACTGTATTTTTCATTTGCCATACAGGAGCAGCTGGATTCAGCATCTAGGAGAAACAAACAAACAAACAAAAAAAAGGCTGCCATCAACTGCAACACAATCTTAACCATTGAGGCCCATGAAGAAACACTATCACAACCAGTGGCCATCAAACAGAACAAAAGCATAGATACTTCATGGTTCACCAAACCCTGCTTACTGCCGAGTCATTTTCCAATATTTTTCAGACCTGCAAGAGATAATTAGTCACAGAGATTACAAAATGTATTGCACATTACCTGAAAAGCATGGAAGCTGTTGGGGATAGTAAAGGGAGACATATGGGAGCTCTCCTCATCGGAGGAAGAACCTGAGTGATAGTCTGACGTCACCCTCTCCAATGCATTGGTCACCTTCTTCGCAACGTCTTTGTCTTCCTCATCATTAGAGAAAGCCGCCACTGAGAAGCAAGGATTGTGCTCTCCATACCTAATAATGAAAAGAGGAGAAAAACAATTAATGATTACTTTCCAAACCACAAGTTTGTGATTGTTCTTCTAGTCCCAGCACCGAAGAACGTGAGTCACAAAAGTCCTCGAAAATGCAGACATCACATGTTGAAAACCTGAACAAACAAGGGATGAGGCTCAAAGGCCTTTATCCCCCTGCACAAACTGTAACATCCCAGAGCTTCAAAAGCTTAATATGCCAATTATTACTAACATTTGGTGCACTCTAGTAGAGTCAACTGAAGATATTTTTTTAAATGATCAGTAATTTAGGGAGAGGTATACGACTGAGTTACATGATTGGTAATTTAGGGAGAGGTATACGACTGAGAACAGTTGTAACCTGATCTGCTATTCTCCTATTCAAGGTAACAGGGATTTACCACAAGGAGCAATAGAGAGTAACATAAAGGGTGACAATTTTAGAGGCCTAAACTGTCATACATGTAACTTGCTTGGAGTTATTACAGTGAAATAAAGTTGGACCTTGCCATGGTTCACGAATCTCATCTTCAGGGAAAGGATACTACTAAAACGCTAAAATACGTTTCTCTACATCTGCTATTAGAAGTAAAGGAGTACCAATTTCATTAAAATGGAATCCTCATATACCCTCTTGGGTACAGGTGTCGATACGGACAAGGAACAAAGGGTAACTCTCACCAACAAGAATTTTTCCGCTGGTATCGGCACTGTGTGTAGCTGTATACCCATACTAGCAATTGTCTCACATTATATGTACCTGCAGCATTGTAGTGGACATAAAAAGCCACAAGCCTTTTAAGATAGAAAACAAAAATGAATGGGATGCTAGTACAGTTTAAACAAAATTATTCCAAAAACACACCAGTTACTTTTCATTTATCAACCACACCTCCCATGACTCTTTAAAATTGTTACACTCTAAGTGTTCCAGTTCTGAACATTAAAACCACAAGCAACCTTTGTGCAGAACCATATATGCCAAATTAGGGCTGGGTGACTAATCGAACTTTATTTTAATTACGATTTTGGCCTCCAACAATAATGAAAACAAAATAATCAAGATAAATGGTTATTGTGCCACACTCCATTGTGCTGTATTACAAATCCAGTGCACTCCTTCAGCTCTCTACAACGCGAGTATGTGTACTCACATCAGGTGAAGTGAAACATTACTCAAGCTGATTACACAAGTTACTGTACATGCCATAAAACCTCCATAAGTAATCTATCAAAACTAATTGTAGCTATGAACAAGCTAAAATGAAAAATGGCTGTAGCCTTACTGTTAAACGAGTCAGTGAGTAATTGTGTTAAATCATCTTAATACTGACCAAAATAATTGTGATTATGATTTTTGCCATAATCTTGCCATAAGCCCCACCCCAAATTCACTTTAACAAACAAAATCTCACCGGCAACAAACCTCCCCAGGGTCCACCCACAATGTGAGATCACGGGGCAGTCTCAGATCACTGTACTGCACCCCGCTCTCCTGGCAGGCCCGAAGGAGCTCTGGATCCTGCCTGTGGAACCTGTTCACTCGGATGCACCTGCAAAGCACACAAAAGCAAAGTTTAAACAAACCCAACTCAGTCCAAGAACATTATTGGAAACACATTAATATGAAAAGTATATAATGCTACAGGTCTACAGTTTCACTAAGGGGTTCCAATGACATGAGAATCTCTATTAATAGTAATTTGGAAAAATGTCAAAAAACAGAGTAGCACCTGTATGCCTGTCCTTTGCTGGGGTTTTCAGGATACCAGTGCCCTTTGAACTTCTCCTGTAGTGCCACAGCCAGCCTTTCAACAAACAGCTCGACTTGATGCGATTCCAGCTTTCCCCCCTTTTTTACAAGGCTCTTCAGGAAGAATACCACAGCTGCGATCTCTCTCCTCATATTTCACATATGTTTCATTATGTGTGGGCAATCTGTGTAAAGAAAACTGGGTGGAAAAATTGTACAAAATGTGAAGGGCTCAGAATACTTTCTGAAGCTACTGCACAATTATTATTACTGACTTCATTCATTTTCATCCTATTTTGTAACAGATCTTCTCCCTGTCAGCGCGGCCAATACATATTTATGTCTATGATGTGCGCGTAGCAACAGCTATTTTAAATTGTGATTGGATGGCTAACACGGAACCGATGCTACTCTTAAAGACATTTTCAATTTCTTATCGTTTTATTTGTATTTGTTGATAGTTAACGGAACAAATCCTAGGCAGGCTGTGACGCACACATCCCAATAATCCACACACCACCTCACTTCACAATATGAGCTACTGTACTCCATGAGCTAACGTTAGCTACTTCGGCTACCAATACGAACAGGATACTAGGTAAATTTCAGACCGAAATTCACTTCTAACTCATTTTAAAATTGTTTTAATGATAGCTACAGTGGCAACATTATTTCCATCTGAATACATACGAGTAGTAATTTATGACAATTTAAGACTATTAGCATTAGCTTCACAGCTAACGCGCAACGTTAAGGCTAACAGCATTGTATTAGTAATTACTAATTAATGAATATCGTTCTACAATTATCGTGGCAAAAGTTAAACACTGTCGCACTAAATTGACATGCTGAGATAACGAGCATAATTAGGGACACTTATTTAACACAGTCAGAGGATAAGATGTTAAACAACTTCACTTACCCTCCTTGTAGCCCTCTGTGCAGAAAATGAATGGCAAGAAGTTAGCCAACAGAAGCAGCGCTGAAGTTTGGCTATTAGCCCCGCCTTTTACCACACGATTCCCGCCCATCGCTCACCCTTATTGACTGAAAAGTAGAGCGTTGCAGCACAATCATTGGTCGAGGACATATTCGTCAATGAATGAGTCATACTCCTTTTATGACTCATGGTTGCAGCCAGTGATGTAATTTATTCATGAAAAATGAAAATACTAAACCCAGGTTTACACAAGATATTATTTTTGGTGTGAAGTTTGTAATGATGATGCTCTCCTCATAATCCAATATTAGTGCATGCCACTAAAGTAATAAACAAGTTTCTACCTTATGTGTTGATTACCGTGGTGAATTATTAAAGCCTGGTGCTCCCTTTCCAAATCTGCTTCTTCTAAACTGACCGTGTTAACCTAATGATATGTCAAAATAAGGTTAAAGTATTGTATGTATTATTGTATGAATTTTTATAAGACAACTAACTGGTTGTAAATTGGAGCAAAAAAGAAACATGTCATTATATAGATAAGTGCAAAAAGAATACCAACAATCATTACAATTACACAATGACATAATCACAAACATTTGCAATGGTCTACTATCTAATAATGGCTTTGTGCAGCCTTCTACATAAGAGGGGTTTTGTAAAGACAGGTAATCAAACCTTTTTTTATATTGCTGACTAGAATAATAATTTGATTTAGTTTTAATAACATTAAAGCTATATCATTCCATTAAATTTCTCATTTTAAGTCATAATATTAACTATTCAATCCTTGTGAACCTTACCCATGGATGTATTATAAGAACCCTTAATACATCTATGAGTTTACCACAAATAGCGTGCATATTCCCCAGAAATAACACTCATTACAACCATAGGGATCATTTCCAATGAAACAGAAACGTGTTTTGTCCACAAGGGGGAATCTAAGCTCTATGTACCTATCTACCACTCACTGCATCTGTCAGCCAGTGAATGTACAGGTCATCTATAAATCTAAGAAGTCAATAACTGGGAGAAATAATCAGGTGGAATTTGCAGTTTTCTAGTGGCTGGAAGTCATTTTGTGTTATTCATTAAATTATCATTTTTTCTACATTAATTATTGGTACTAGACTGAAATATGACACATGATGACATACGATTACATTTTTACATCACTAGGTTTCTTAATGATTCTCTCTTCCTATTGCATTAATGTCCCTAGTTTAGCTGCAAAACAAAAAACACTAGTGGTGTTTGAAGCGTGGAACATCATCAGTCACGTTAATGGTTGAAACTTCAAAGAGGTGGACCAACAATACTGTTCATCTAGGGCAACATTGAAATCTCAGCAACAAGTAGATAGATGAGTCACTATTTAAGCTTTTGATATACATTTTAAAATGTTGGGTTTGGTGTGTGTATATATATATATATATGCATACATTGTTGCTTGCACTTGTGTGGAGTTGCAGCGTTATCCTTACCATTTTTCCTTTTGCAGGCACCCGTTGGTCAGCCATTCTTTTCCATGCACCAGTAACCACAACTGGGAAATACCAGCATAGCAGACTGCAGTAAAAAATAATTTTATTTTATTGGAATATTATTTAAAAAAACACACAAAAGTCACTTAAAGCACAAATCACAACTTGTGTGAGGTTCATATGAACATCCACAATAAATAGAATGTAAAACAGCACAAATACAGCATTGTTCAACATTAGAAAACAACAGAACTCTTAACAGGTGTTTACATCTCCAGTAAAAGATGAGATGGAGAGCCCAAAACAGCCAGTCTGACTTTTCTGCTAAGTAGAGGCACAGGCCCAGAAAAGTTTCCACAGTACACAAAAACACACAGCATTCATGAAGGAAAAAAAAACAAACAGGCTGAAGACTGAAGATATGCATTAAGGAACCAAATCTGAATACTCTTAAATGTTCAAGCACACTAAACACTGCTATCCAAATAATAAGATAAAAGTTTAAAATGGAGCTAAATATTTTTTTTATTTTAAACCCTAAAAGGGTCAAATATATTTAATCTCTTATAAAGAGAGAGCAAAGTGATACACTGACAATGCTGTTTTTATAGCATCAATCTTATTATAATCTTTTTTCCCCAGCTAATTATATGCAAGTACCTCTGACCTCCTCAGAGAAACTCAGAAAGCCAATATTCTTTTAGATATTTTCTACTTACAAGGCTTCTGAATTGTCCCTTTCTTGCATAGAGTTCCTGAAAAATAAACTGACCAAAACAGCAGAAGGCTATTACCACCCCTACATCCCTCTGTCTTCTTTTGTTCCAAAAGCAGGGAGCTCTGGGGGTACAGAAGACCAAACTATCCTGTTTGCACTGAGGTGACAACAACTCGGGCTCTCACACAAACTGAGAACAAACCATTTCCACAACAACACCTTCAGCATAAAAATCTATGGTTCATCATTACACACTGAACCAAACATACAAATCATTAAATCACATTTCGCTTTGGTATTGCTTCTTCCTACACTAATATGATCTAAGTCAAATGCTTGCAGTTCACATGTGAAACAGAGAACCAATTCAAACTTTGGTTTGGCAGCATTTCTTTTGTTTCTTCTTCCAATAGTGCTCATTCAGTGTATAGCCATACATAAGACTTGTGCTCGACTGCTATACAACACACAGCAAACAGTTCTGTACTACATATCAAGTAAATCTCACCAGAAACGGCCATTTTAAAGCAAAAGTTGAATTAAAAATAAAGTACCTCTTATCTTTAGGCTGTGGAGGGGATATATTAACTGATATTTCCACTTGCCAACCAGCTGTTACAAAGTTATTGGTTCATGGACACTCCCAAAAATTATTACAACTCCCACAAACAAAAACCTGCACAACTAGTATAGCCTTGTTAACGCTCACACTCTGATCTTTGTTGCAGTGGTGCTTCAGGGTTCTTTGGGCTGTTGTCTTGCACGAGCTTTTTACCAGATTATACTTGATCTCTTTAATTTTTCATGTATAACATTTCTATTAGTTAAAGGAAATGTAGCAAACATTGTTAGTATATTAAGTATTTTAAATTTGGCTAACATATGAAGCCCACTACTCATTTATCTGATTTACAAAACAGCTAATATTTCAGAAGGTGACTGTTTTCATCAGCTATCACATCAATTTGACCAGTTGAAAAAAAAAAAAAACACATTTGATGCCATGATATTGTCACTGTGCAGCTACAATAGGAAGCCTGAACATTGTTAGCGCTTTACATGAGAGCAGAAAACAAACATTACTTCTGGCAGTGGCTGATGGTGTGAATGAAATGGAAACAGACTAGTCAGCATCTGGAAATCACCATGTTAGAAAATATTGTAACTTACTTCTCCCTGGCTAACCATTTTATTAAATAACATAGCTTTAAGCAGTGTTAAAACCCATGTTTGACATAATGAGAAGAACAAAATAACTGAACATGTATCTCCAAAAAAACTGAAATGGAATACTGAAAACTGAAATGTATGACAGCAAACTAAAAGAAGAAAATAAAAACAAATAGCACCCATCTATGTAAAATTACTGTATGTAGACAAACTGTTTTTCAGTCTGTATTGTGATAAATCTTAAAAGGTATTTTTACAGACCATGTCCACTAAGCCAGCAAACTTTGAGGCCCACCTGCTGTTAACATGCATTGTGGGTATTTGGGGTGGGTGGAAATCAGGTCACATGATGCCACTAATCCTTGATTCATCACAACCATGAGAATGGAGGCCATGTCAGCCCAGCCCTTAATGCTGATCCAAAGCAGAATTAACTACTCAGTATGATCATAGTGTTGCAGAAGTCACTCAGTATACATAGTCATTTTTTAGTCTCTCTGCAACCAGCATGTTGAAGCGTTTGACGGCTCTCTCCCAGCAGCAGAGACAGAAGCCCAACCTTCTCCTCACTCCACATGACTGCTGCTGCTGCTGCTGCTGCTGCTCTTCACCCCGGCCCTGCTAATGTGCAGCCAGGGCAGCTTGGCACAGTTTTTGAACAGCTGCTCGATGGCAATGTGACGCACGCGCAGCTCTGATGCCAATGAGTCTTTCTCCTGCACGGCCACAGTCAGTTCCTCGAAGACCTCTGTGACAGAGAGAGAGATAAGAGAGAATCAGCAGTTTCGTGCACACATAAGATCAATTCATACACAGGTAAACAAATGGGAGAAACAAACAAGACAAGGAGAATCAATATTCATAACTACTGAAAGAACAGAGGGCCAAGACAACATGACAGAAGCTGCATCAGATTAAAACACCCTTACCAAAAAAACAAACAAAAAAGACAGTCAGCAACAGGTATTCAGTGGAGCAACCCTCATTTACAGAAGTTAGAGCACAAAGGAACACTTCATGCATCATACAGTACAACCATGGGCACGTGTGATCCTACTTAAATCATGTTGCCTTGTACTTGTACATGGGTAATAAAGTTGAATCTAATCTAATCTAATCTAATCTAATCTAATGATTCAGAGCACAGTAATGAGGAACCGACTGCTCCTGAAGCCTGAATAAGACACCTGCTAGACATTGCTTTGCTGGAGAACATCTCACATTAGCTCATGTAATTTCTCTTTTGACACTGGCCAGAGTGATCACTTGGCTCACAATGAAAATATCAAGAATGACTGGGGGTTCAGTAAAGCAGGAGTGTGCCAACCCTCTCACAACTATGTTCTCTAATGATCCTGTTACAGTGCTTTGGCCTTCCCAAGGTGTAGTGGCTACCCGACCTTACTGTGGTAAAAATAAAACCATGAGTGCTCACAATAAGATGCTTTTAACTGAGCAGTTATTGTATGTAGCGATCAATAGGTCAAACGGGTGAAGAATAGAACGAACAGACAGGCGGCGCATGCATGAGTGAGCACTACACACTGGACACGCTTTGGCACTGATAACGTGTTGACTAGAGAGGCCTTCCAGTCTACATTAGCCCCTGATTTACTGAGCCTTCTGTTCTAAATCTGTGAGCTCAGACTGAGACTGGATATGCTGTAAGTTAAAATGGTCTTTACTAATGCAGCTTCTTCCTCAGGGCACCAAGGACTTCAGGTGGGGATTTACCAGAGATGAGAATTACAGACTGAACACGTTAAAAAAAAGTGTCATTTCAAATCTTAATGACTGAGACAGCTGAACTTAAGACAACGTGTTTAATCAGTCACTTACTTTGAATCTGCTTCAGTAGCTGGCCATTCAGCTTATGGAGCTCATCCACACTCATTTTAGACACTAAAAGAATTGAAAAAGAAGATCAGAGTATGAGAGATAGAGGCTGTATCACATCAATACGACATTGACACCAATGCATTTAAGAATGTGGAACATGTTCATGTCTCAAACTGGTGAAAAACTGCTGGCAAATGATTTGTTTATTTTTTATTATCTTATTCCTTTAATTTGTTATTGGCCTCTTTAAAAATATATACAGGAATAACAATATTGCAATCAAGGGTCTCTTTCACTGAAGTGTTGCAGGAAACCTCTGAACTGTTGATGGGCAGAACAAAGAGCTATTGCTGTCTGTTACTACTCACCAGCTTTAAAAAATTCAAAAGAAAACCAAGTGAAATTGTGTTCCTGTACATCTGCAGGGTGCAGACATTCACAGCAGTGAGTGGTGGAGGTTAAAGATGAGATAATGCAGAGGTATGCACACAAATAAGTGCAAACCTTTGTCATCTTTCATTTAAAAGTAGAAATTTTGAA